TACAGATGTTTATGAGATATCTCAGTGTCCATTAGGCTCATAATGTTTTGCTTTTGTAATCTCATTTTAATACATTAATCAAACTTAATGTTACTGTTAAGGTAAAAGGTTGTAAATCAAATATATATATTTATATTCCATTTCTTATTGGAGCTGGGTCTGAACTTCATATATGGTTTTCTTTTCTTCCATATGTAGATAAAAACACTTACATAGTAATAGGTAATCATTGATTCACAGAAATGGTGCTATTAGAATGGTCTCTCACAACTGCAGGTAGTGTTTTTAGTGTTTACAGCTTTAATTAGTTATCCCTACTATCAGGACAGTAGAAATGTTGGTATAACACTTTTTTTTTTTACCATTTACTTTGATGATTCTCATTCTTATTCTTTGCATTAAACCCAAAGGGATTGTAATGGTGAAGTTAATCGGCTTAATACAAGTTATGTTAATTATGCATGAGGGAAGGACTGTGAAATGTACTTGATTGAAAAATGTAAAACTGAATAAGAGTTACCTTTGTATACATATTTTGTGTGGTTGTGTGTGGGTTATAGGTCAGGTGGTGGATGTGGATGGATGTAGGTGTGTGGGTTTGTATGTGGGTATAAATGTGAGAGTAAATGTTGTCTTATTTTAAGAGAGAAAGAGTTTAGTGAGTGAGTGTGTGAGAGTGTGAATGTGTGTTTCAGGACAGTAACTCTTGATAGCTTTGTTGAATTAGATTCACATTTTGTACGAAAGAATGTTATAATCACATATGTCAAAGTGCAGATTTCTGATATTTGAACTTTCATTTTCCAGGCCGTTTCTGTCCTTGCCTTTTTTAATTACAGTTGTACTTCGCAAAACTTCAATACTTTATATAGACATTTTCAAATAAGAATGATGGTACAGGAATGTCTTGGCTTGCTTTGTATGAATTGATTATCATTTGTCAAACTTCACTAAATATAGGATAGTTGTTTGATTACAGAAATTTGAGACATTCTAATTATTTAAGGTTGAAGGTTAAACTTAACAAAATATTTAAGTGAAATTTATAGGTTGGTTCTTGGGGTAGTTTGCAAAAGTATTTCTTATTATGTTGAATAGTAAATCAGCCAGTAGCTGTAAAAATTTGAGTTATTTCTTGTAAATTTCACTTTAACCAATTTAAGGCCAACTTGGGAAGAAACCCCAGTAAAAAAAACTAATATTTGATTTTTTAGAACTTCATCATCATTGCAAGTTCAGGCAGTTGGGGCTGTAAAGATATAGCTTTACTTTTTCATGTGGCAGTTTGTAAACTTTGTGACACATGTTGCTCACGGCAGCCGTAACACAGGCATTCTATATTGTATATTCACACCTCCTTTTATGATTTACAAACATCCTCTCTCTAACTCTTGCATCTCATATTTATTGCATTTCTTCATGTCATTTGATCTTTCACCTTTCTTTTTCTTTTGTGTTTCATCTTTCTGCAGCAGCAGCAGCTTTTTTTCTATTAGGTATGTAATGGCTATTAAGAGTTGAAATATGGAGGTTCACAATTCTTTTAGCTATACAGTAATTCATTACAGTATATATGTGTCCAAAGATTTTATTTAGGTATTTTCTGTTCTGACTAGTTAAAAATAGAATAGCACTTGTATATGGATATCGTTTCGCATATTTTTTGGGGACAGTGTTAAGGATGCTCTCTTTTAATGTTAATATAATTCCTCTTCCTCTTGCTTACAGCATTCAGACGTACAATTCAAGTAAAAGGATTCTCGGACATGTTCAACTTTTCATTAGTATTCCTCATTTTGCCTGTGCTTGAGGTTTTCTCTGCTGTGATTTTTGCGCTCTAGAAATTTTAAGATTGAATTAACTTGCATAAGGATTGCAAGGAGAACAACTTACATGAAACATGTTTATTGGTAGATACTACCTACTTTGCATATTATGGACACTGTTATAAAGGGAACATTTTCTGTTGTAAAAGATATGACTTTGATGAAAGTGGATGAAATTCCTTTTTACTACTTAGAAGTTGCCGAGTTCATAACCTATAATTTTTTTTTTCCTGCGATCCCTTGATACTAATCGGTGACCTAATAACCAGTGACTTTTTTGTGTTATGTCTATAGTAAAGTATAAAATCAAACTTGCATTATTACTTCCCTCTCTTTTTTTAAAATTCAGGTATGAGTTTTGTTTTTATTTCAGCCATAAAAAATGAAAAAGAAATTACAACCCTTGAACAATTTTATAAAAAAAATATTTGTAGCCTCCCCCCTTAAAAAAAGGGGGGAAAAAAGGTGGCTTGCACAGTATTTTCCAATGTAATTATATAGGCTGCTTGAGATCTGAAGCTAAACACTTTTCAAACTCATTTATTTTATAAACGTTCTAATATGAGCAATGTAAAATCACAAATTAAAGAAGAGGTTCAGTGTGTCGTTCAATCAATGTATTAAAAAAACATCTCCCTACATTTGGAAGTTAATGGTATCCTTGTGTTTGAAGC